AAACTCAATACTTTGAGCTTACCAGGCAAACACTTATTCCACTGAGCTATCTCCCCAGCCCCATGCATACCATTTTGGCTCTAGCAGGTAAGCAGATCACATATGTGTGCCGAAAAATATCAAATGGCTCTTTTTCAACACATAAGGATGAAATATCTTCCAGTGCTTAATAATACATTCTACAAAGAAGTAAGAGTCTTTGAAATGGCTCAGTAGAATAAGCACTTGCCTGGCAAGCATGAGGGCCTGAGTTCAATCCCCGGTTCTGCAAAAAAAATAAAAAACAAAAGAGTCTTTGAGTTCCCCAGGTCTCCATCCAGTTATCTCAGTGGAAGATCTGCAAGTGATATAGGGAAGATATAACCCCCATAGGCTAGATATCCAAAATGCTAAGTTTGTGTTCTATAAAATCAGGGAATGAATTCTAGAAACAATGGAAGTTGAGTAGGAGGAATATATTGAGAGAAAAAAAGCTTCTGTCTAAGAGGGAGGGGGCCGGAAAGTGGGTTGTCCACTGCGTCTCATTTATAAATTAAGCTCCTTCATAGATTCATAGGTATGAGAAAAACATTCTATGTAGAGTGCAGTTCCACCTGAGGATTCAGGTGTGGAGGGGGCCCTGAAGAACATGGATGGGGAGGTGAACGTCGTTTGTTTTGTTTTGTCCTTTTTTTTTTGGCAGAACTGGGGATTGAACTCAGGCCCTTGCACTTGCCAGGGAAGCGCTTATTCCACTGAGCCATCTCCCTGGCCCCTGTTTTGTCTTTTTGAGACAGGGTCTCACTCCGCAGTTCAGGTTGGCCTTAAACTCACTATGTAGCCCAAGTTGGCTTTGAATTCTCAGTGTTCCTCCTGTCTCAGCTTCCAGCATGCTGAGAGTACAGGCGTGCTCCTCCCAGGTGTGGTCTGTAAGATCTGTGGAGATAGATGGTGTGGCATGGGCTTCCCAGGAGGGAGGCCTGGCTGGCCTGGCTCACCCAGTGCATTCCTGTCCCAGGCCACCTGGAGGTCCTCGCAGCGCTGGTGCAATGACTGTATGCAGGCCTGCCAAGGGCAGCCACAGCCAGACCACAGACCTGAGGTACGGATTGGCTGACAGGTAAGACCGTGTCCCCAAAGAGGGAGAGCCTGAGCCAGCTGTCGAGTCTTCCTCTCTACTCTCTCCACCACCTCCTCTCCACAAACCCCACTCTTTCAGCTGCAGAGAGGGCCTTCTTTTTTGTTTTGTGAGGCAGGATCTCACAATCTAGTTCAAACTGGACTGGCCTTAAAATCATGGTGATCCTCCTGCCTCAGCCTCCCAAGTGCTGACATGACAGACGTGTGCTGCCACGTTGGGAAAGGAGGCATTTCCATGGACCTCCTGTAGATAGACCATCTCCCCAAGATGCTCTGCCTAAGACTTGAAACCTAGGTGATGGAGAGAAGGTCGAATATTGTCACAACCCACGGCCATGTCCCCACTGTGCCTTCCAGCTGGGGTTGTGTTTGGCTTATCCCTGAGCCTGGGTCTGCACTGGCTGGTATCACTACCCCTCTCCCCAGAAGGAGCTTTTCCTCTGAGCCTTTTGCAGTCTGCACTGCGGCGGACAACCAGAGCGATGGAAGGCAGCAGTTCCAGACAGAACCACTAGGGGTGTGGACCTCTGACACTCCCTCAGCCCGGCAGCCACAGGGAAACGTACTGTAACCCTGGCAACACCCAAAACCGGTTCACCACCTCAACTTTTGCTTGAGCTTGGTAAATCCAGCGTGGTCTTCCTTCCAGCAAACCATGATTTGTTCTGCCTCAGTTTCCAGCTGGGGCCTCAGTGACGATGAAGTCACACCAGGTGTTGTGTTCTCAGCAATGACTGTGACGATACCAGTACCGTCTGTCAGCGGAAAGGATTGTTGTGTGGGCTGCATTTTGGGTAGGTTGTGTCTATGAACTCATCCGTTAGCCCATGGACTCCCAGGAACAGCAAGCGCAGTTACTTCGGCTCTACACTCAGAAAGTTCCAGTTTAGAGAGGATGAGCAGGCTCTTATTTGAAGAAGGAAAAAAAGGAGACGAAAAGGCCGGAGAGATAGTTCAGTGGTTTAAGGTCCTGAGTGCAATACTCAGTACCAAAAATAAAAAGGAGACAAGACCACATTCCTTGTATTTGAAAGCCCATGGATTTATCTGCTGTGCATCAGGGCTTCCTAGCACATGACCTCAGCATTCTACAGTAGTCTGTCATCTTTGTCCCCAAGCACGCAATGCCAGGAGTTCTACCTTTTGGACCCTCAGGAAAATAAGCACAGACTGATTGTGATTCTGGCTAAAATCTAATGCTTGTTAATGGCGTCTGTGGTGACAGGACAGTTCTGCAAGCCTCTCCCTCCTAAACACTCTGTTATGAATCCTAATTGTTTATTTAAATATGGAAGCCTGCGTTGATAGCCGTGGAAAATGTGTTTGCAAGAAAAAAAGTGTGTTTGCATTTTCACAAGTTCGTAATTTATGCTCTGCAACGAAAAACAGCAGCGTAATTTGTATGCCAGTGTCTCCGCGGAGGGGAAGCCGTTACATAAACAGCCATTAAGTCTTGGGGCTGGAAAGCTGTAGTCACAGGATGCGTGAAATTGCTAATTATCCATCTCTTGCTGTGCATCCTTTTGGGGCTTTAGAACTGCTATACAGTCAGGCCTCTCCCTGCATTTAGAAACCACCCCCAACCCCGAGGGCTTGTTCTCTGTGTGTGTGTATGTGTGTAAAGTCACTGGGGGCCGGGCATGGTGGAACATGCACGTTATCCGAACACTCTGGAGGCTGTGGTAGGAAGATCACTGTGAGTTCGAGGCCAGCCTGGACCATATAGTGAATGCAAGGCCAGTCTGAATTCAAAATGAGACCCTGTCTCAACAAAACAATAAAAAGCAACACAAAATGATTTCTAGGGTTGGAGGAATATAGCTCAGCAGTAGAGTGCTTCCCTAGCATGTATAAAGCCCTGGACTCGATCCCAAGCAACATACATGCATATACACACACACACACACACACACACACACACACACTCCATAATAGTAAATTCCAGCTCTTTCTGGCACTAATTAAAATCACACATGGAGCCATAGATCTCCCTGTGTATGTTCTAGACTATTTCTTTCTATAACTTGGGAAAAACTTTGGCAACCATGGCAGCCATTAGCCACAGGGGCTGCAAGGACGTGACAGACCAGGAAAGCTCAGGCCAGAGGCTTTCATTCAGTCGTATTTCAATTCAGAAAGCTGCACGTGACTAGTGGCACGTATCTGTGTGACTGTGCATCTCTGGGCCACACGTGAAACCCGAACCTGCCTGCTCGGCCAGCGCTGTTCTAGGTCTGGGCCAACAGCAGGATAACAGAAGGATCCCTGTGCTTGGAAGGTCTGCTCTGGGAAGGCTCAGGTGCCCGAGGACGCTCTGCAGAAGAGCAGCCTGTCGCTGTGACTTTACCCCTCGAATCAGCACAGTGCTTAAGCCCAGAATTAGGGACCGCTTCATGACTCGTGGTGATTTAGTTTGTAAGGAGTCATTGTGAAGAACCACTGCTGCCGGCTGTGATGTGCATGCCTGTTATCCCAGCACTCTGGGAGGGAGGCTGAGGCAGGCGGGTTGTGAGTTCCTGCCCAGCCTTGGCAACTTAGCGAGACACTGTTCTCAAACAATTAAGAGGGAGAAGGGAGGACTGGGGATGTAGTTCAGTGCAAAGGCCCAAAGGCCCTGAGTTCAGTCCCTAGCACCACTCATATACACACAAGCATGTGTGCACACATGCATACACACACCAAAAACCTTAGATAACACAGGGAAAACCTAAATTATATGATCTTTTACC